CCCGCGCCGACAGCACCCTGTGCGGCGCCTGTGAATGGGGCGGAGGGCAGAATTCCGGGCTGAGGAATAGCCTGACAGAAGAAAAGCGCCAGGAGAAGCCGAAGAGGATGCCGAGGGCTGCGGCATGGCCTCGGGGACGGAGAAACGCCTGACTCCAGCCCACAGGAGAACGGGTGCTTTCAATGAGCACCCTTGGTTACCAAAACACGTAAAAGCAGAAGGGACTGGAGGTGTCTGCCTACAGCACAGCACGCTAGGGGAGCGCGTGTAAAGTTAAAAAGCCCCACAAAAAACTGAACGACGACAAAAAGCCCCGAGAACGAATGTAGAGGAAACCAGGCCGCAGTGAGAGAGTGATGTGGCCCTGAGGAAGGCGAAGTGGCTCCATCAGTCACAGCTGGAGTTTGGAAACGTGCTCTCCCGACACGATAGCCGGCCGCAGCGCTCCTCCTGGCTGGCTGCGCAGGGTAATCCTCCGAAGAAGGACAACTCGGAGAGAAGCTGCCTGACCCAGCGGTACAGCTGGGTTCATTTTAGTCATTTTCCTTGAGGCGAGCGTCCACGTACAGCAGGAATCTAAGAGAGGTATCAAAAGGCAATAGGCTGGAAACAGAGGGAACACGAAGTGCTGTCCCTCTTTTCGGTGGTGAAGGACTGAGAGAACCGAGGGATGAGCGTGTGTGTAACACGCCTTTTGAGATGAACTGCCGTGGCTGAAGTTAAACGGCAAATTGTAAACAAACGAAGGGAGAAGCAGCAAGACATGGATCTAACTCAAAACTGCCTCCACCTCCGAACGAGAGAAATCCTGCTTCTCTCACTAAGGATAAATGCCCTTCCTCTTATTATTGTCTACAGTGGTCAACAGATCACCAGCACCTCTGTATGTAACATAGAAAATCGGACTTCTATCTAGAGAAATAACTTTATGTACCTACAAAATACAGTATTTTTGAGACCTAGCAGAAGCTCAGGCAAATCACCTAAGTCCACAAACGCTTTCCACAGCGCACGGCACTTGAGCAGGCTGTACCCCCTGGGTGTAGCTTTTCAGCGCGGGGACCGGGCGGACGGCACCTGCATCCATCCTTGCCTTGGAAGAGCAGAAAATTACACTCGGTGGAAGCCAGAGGTCCCTCAATTCTAGGCATTGCGAAGTGCTACGCGTGTGTGACACGTACTCGCACATCAAGATGATGACAAAGAGGCTTTTTGTTACTGAGGCGATGAGGAGTAAGTGGCAAAAATGTGCAACGACAGTGTTCCCGTCTTGGGGAAAACAGCAGCGACTATCGGTCCTTGCAAGGAAGTCGCTTGAGCTGAGAAGCGTTTTTCTAAGTCGGGGAAAAAGCACAGGCAGCAGCTCCGCAGAAAGGAACATGCTTTGAAGTTGAAAACCCTGCTCTACAGACAGGAGCTTGCTGTTCTGCGCAGCTGGTCAGAACTGGGCGCGGGTGCGTAACGGCAGCGTATCAAAAGTGGCATTTAGTGATTTTTAATGAAAACAACCATCTTTCAGTAACGCACCGGGTGTTGTAGGACTGGCTTTGTCCAATTACTGTGCTACGAGCACCGCGGACTGCGATTATTGTGTGCTACCACATTGTTGCTGGTGTATGTGTAAGCCCAAGTCTCTGCTATCGCACAGTTATTTTTGTAGCTGGGTAGAGTAGTCACTCATGAGAGCAAAATCCAGAGCGTAACAACCACGTAACACATCAGTTGTGACGGACCTTTGCCCCGAGAGTACAAGTAACACTGGCGCCTGCTGACTTCAAGGAAACCTCTGGAACGACGTACAGCCTAGTAGTATTAATACTGGAAGCAGAAACTGTTTGGAGGGACCAGAACAGCAGAAGAGAAAGGTGTTCCAAGAAAAGGAGCACTGGTGATCTGTTACCCTGCTCACTGTTAACAGCGGTATGAATGACAACACCCCTCCTCACCACAAGAAACAGGGTTTCTCTTGTTTGGAGAGACAGAGGCAGCTGTAAGTTGGATCCGTTTGACTGTACTACTTCAGTCAGTTCACCTTTTTGTCTTCTCTTGAACTTACAAATATCGTCTCTTTTCCTTTTCACACATGCAGTCAGATAACGAAACAAAACAGTGAAAGCAAAGCTAAGCCACGAACAGTTAACAACATCCACGGGGCTGGAATGGCATATTTATTCCTCTGTGCTAGCCTAAGGAGAGAGAACTAACAAACGACTGCTATCCAGGTTAACTCAGGATTGCTACCCAGGCTGGGACACCTCCTTCTGGAGGAGTTTCTGGTGGTATCAAGGGTCCCCTCAACTGCATTTCTGCTCCATTATTTTATCCAGTTCAATCGGTATTACTCAGAAAAACCTCTCATGTTACCTGTCACCATTTGTTACCGTTGGTCCCATCTCTGTAGCAAACAGATAAACTTTGCATTTAATTTAAATGAGCTGCTATAACATTTAAGCGTCAGTTTTTACCACCACCTTTTTCTTTTTTGTTTTCCTTAAAGGAAAGATCTTAGTGCACCACTTGCTGCAAGGCATTGCAGTTGAAACTTTTTGGAAACAGTAGATTCAGTGTTTAAGCTTTGGTTATTAGATAGGGAGTCCCCTACTACCTCTCTATACCATCGTCTGTTGGGGTTATTTTTGTTCGGGGTCAATCGTATTATTGCTTACGATAATGCTAATAGGAAGAAAGGGAAATCTGTGTGTGATTCACTGCTATGCATTATTCAGCACTTGGTTAACATCCAGCACACAGCTCTTTCCTAGCTTCTCAAGAGCACTGGCGTGAGGCACTGCAAATCAACATTTTGGGGATGAGAATTTCATTCATTCAGCCCGCCCCCGGTCATCGAAACATGCTTCAGGCAAGGCAGAGCAGCTTGAGAGCCAGAGCTTCAGAACCTGCCCAGCTGCTGGGTATGTTCATTTGGAAAAGATTGGTCTAAATCAGTCTCCATGGAGGAGAAAAGCAGTGCTGAGATCTACCCCTGTTCTGCGTTGCCGTGCCAAGTTACCAGGCTCCCTCCAAACAAACAACTGGAGGAGACCCAGCCCCTTCGTAATAGCCTGGTGGTGGCTGTCAGGGATCCAGTGTTTTGGTTCCAGACTAGCAGCAGAGGGAAGTGGTGTAAGAGTGAGGATGCTGAAAACGTGCAGGACATAAAACAGTATGTTCTGTTAGCGGGCGGCGGCACCGCACTCGCCCATACAACGCAGCTTCTTGGTGACATCCTCGGGTCTCGTTGAGACGAACCCCTCAGCGAGGGCTTGCAGGCATTAGTTGTGTCATTTTGTAGAAAAAGTAGGTCAAATCTAGTCTTGTGCTTCACGTTTAT